CCCCCCCCCCCCCCCCCCAGAGGAACTGGAGGGCCCTCCTGGTAATAGAAGCGAAGGCAGCGTCTGGCCCGAATGATAAGTCGTTGAAAATTGAACTCCTCGTACTTTCTAGCAAGAGATTCGTCGTACTTCTGAATTGAGCTAGCAACGACTTCCGGGAAAGAAGTGTCAGGGGCGAGAGTAACGTTATCGAGAGTACCCCATTGGGACTTCTTACAGACCGCATTAACCATAGTAAAGAGTCTGGTCGGATCTTATATAATTATTATTAAGGACTTTGATATCATATCGGTAATATCCCGCTTTAAGTCTGTTTATGTTATAGAAAGAAATAAAAAAATCTCTATATCGCGTAATTTCGTAAACGTTCCTATCTAATTTTCTTTTACTAGATAAATAAGTTAATTTAATTTCAGTAAATATCTCTCGCGAAATAAAAGGAAATTTAGTGTAGATCGTATATATAAGACGCTTTCTTTTTACCTCCTTCTACTAATTATTCTTAACAAAGCACAAGTCTCCAGCTGCGCGACCGTTCTTAGGGGCGGGAGGTACAAAGTTGGGGTTTTGGGTATCCTTTTGGTTGATACAGTCCTCGGTCCATGTGCCCATAATGGTGTTAACGTCACCGGCAACCAATTTGGGTAGTTCGGGTTCGTCAGATGCTAACAAGGCAGTATTCCATCCATTTAACTCGAGTACCTCGCGGAAGAATGCCTCGGGTGGAAAACTAGGCCTCAAAAGTCTAGCTTCCTAGACAATATCGGCCAATGCGACCGTGTCGGATTGTAATAGTTGCGAGTGGTGCCGGAGCACAAATCGGCCCTGGTGGGCCCAGTAAAGTATCATTGAGGAGTTGCGCCGGGTCGGCTCTGCGTGCAAGCGCTGGGTCGCCTCGAGGTTGGTCATTCGAGCCCACCCGGAGGAGCTTTTCCTTCCTTTTGTATTATTTTGCTTTATCTCAACTTTGAGGGGGAGGTGGTTAATAGATTTTTTTTTAGCGAGTATTATTGGCCCCTTTTTGGTTGCGATGCTAACCGAGAGCCGTAAACTCAACAAAATTCTAGACCAAAAAAATGTAGCCATGATTTCTCTTGGCGCCCTTTTCTCTCTCCCCCCATCGCTCACCATTGACCCAGATCTTGTGGCACAATCACCCTCATTGACCCAGACCTAGTGCACATTCACCCTAATTGTTCTAGGACCCTTGAACAACCACGTTTCTTTACCAAACCTTATTAATAACTATGGCGGAGGACCGCCCAATTACTGCCAATGCACGTTGGGTCACTTTCCTGTACGGGACACATGGCATTGTGTTCGACACTTTACAAAACAAGCGGAAGGCTCGGGAGAATAAGGAGGAGGAAGAGGAATATGAACAGCCTATATCTAAAAGGGTACGAAGAAGTAAGGCGAAGAAGATAAAGGAAGAGGAAGAGGAAGAGGAAGAGGAATAGGCGGAATTGGAAGGCGACACTGTTGTCGCTTAAGGGATAAGGGGTAGGGGGGGATGTTTACGATTATTTGCTATCTTGATTAACCGGAATGGCTCGAACATTGACACTACACTAACTGAAGAAAGAAGAAAATGGCTTGAACAATGACACTTCATTAATCTAAATAGCTCAAATAATAATCTCGTATAAGAAACCTAGTCGTTGCTCTATATACGCTATTAAAAGTTACTATACTAAAAGTCTAGAACAATTAAATCAATTATCCTATTTCACCTAGGTTAATAAGGCGTAAAAGGTATTAATTATTCTAAACTTTTCGTATAATTGATTTAGTTGGGTAAGGTCTTTGGGGTAATACTTTTATAGCTCAGGTGTATATAGAGTAATGCCCGCCTGTCTTACTAATGCCGGTAAGTTACTCTCGCTTATATAGCTCTAGAGGTTAGATATGTTAGCCTAGTTCCTAGTTAGAAGGATAACTTTATATAACTTTTAGTAACTACTAAGTAGAATTCTATTTAATTCGAGAGGTAATAAACTCTTATTCTAATATCCTTATATTATTAGAATTATTCAGAATATATATAACTCGGCTAGTATTTAGCTAAGATTATAGTAAGATTGTACTTTACCTACTTATAGATAGTTAAGACAGCCGTTCTATTAAATTAGTACAGAGAAACGCGAAGAATAATTTCGTTTAATATAGGTATTACTTAGAGCTATTGCTACTATACACTAAATAAAACCACTCAAATTTGTGATACTATGTACTTGGAGCCTTTTCTCAAACTTGAAAGTACTTAAGAAAGACGGAAAACAATTCTAAACAGCACGCTTCATTGGTCTCGCTTACGACTAGTCATTAAGCGAAAATGCGATGTCGAATCTTTATAAAAATCTGGAAAAGAGACTTCAAGCAAGTTAACACATCCCATAAGGCTTTGAAACACCGCAGATACCATTGATCTAGTTTTGGGCCATGGGAAAAGCACCTACGGACTATTGTTATTCGCTATTTAAGAAACTCCACGACTTTTAACATCGACATTGCAGAATCATAGACGGGGTCTATAAAACTCTGTACCTTATCATGTTTCGTTCAAATAAAACCATAGAAATGTTTCCACGCCGGCGACAATGGTGCGTTTGAGAGAGTAACGACAGGTGATATTTTCGAAATGTTAAACCACTTTACTAGTAAATGAGTTGCAAACTATCTTCAGAGTTATCTTGACCAAAAGAAAGAGTGAGAACTTTGAGTCTAGCCATGGTATGACAAAGTTTCCAGATGAATCACGTAAAAACACATGTGAGATTGAAGAGTGTTGAGTTGAAAAGAGGCAACTCACTCGGTACTCGATCAAAGAAATGTCAGGAAACGCTTTCACAGGTATTTTGGCTTAGCTGACTACAGATCCATCTTCAACAATTGGATGTACAAGGAGAAGAACCGATCTTCAAAATTGCCTGGGCCTACTCTCCCGGCACTCGTCGAAGTATGTTCCCTTATCTGTTATTGGTGGCTTGAAGGATCACTTCGAGGAGTTATATGGAATTGTGGTGATAGCATTGTAACCAGACAAGCCTTGGTCTCAAGATATGTTTAAGCAGAAGGCTACGATGGCAATCAATCTATTTAGTCAGAAGTATCACCAAATTAGGAAAGCAAGAACCTAGATACTGTATACTCATGAAACGATGACGTCTGCGAAACCTCGAAAAGGAGAAACTAAAAACATAAAACTCAAGACATAAACTAAAATGACACTAAATAAGAATTGATGAAGGTGAAGGAAAAAAATTCAAGCCTGAAGTATTCATAGCTCTTCTTTAGATGGATTTAGATAATGGTGGGCTGCGTACTAGTAATACGCGGTCTTCGATCGGTGATGGCTATATGACCCCTCGCAAGGAGCTGGCCGACCATCGGGAATTGTCGGATAAGATGGTTGAACTGAAATTCAGGATTTGGGTTAGATGTATTCGAATGTTAGAAAGATGAAATTATAGAGGCTCTCATAGTATCACAGAAGGACAGCAGAAAGCAGATGTGTAGAATGAGACAGGTAATGATGCTCATGAGTAGAGATATACGAGTAGAGTAGATGCCATCTGATAGTGACAGTCCGTCGGCGAAAGTGACCCGATACTAGCCCCAATCCAGTTAGCTCCACCAACGAATTTGGTTGGCAAGCTCCCCAACGCGAAATAAATCTTGAGCAGCTTCAGAACCCCAAACCCGCTTCCAGCCCTCTCCTCGACCTCAATTTCATTCATTTTTCTTTCCGCCCAGCTGCGGCCATTCTAATATTTCAAGATGTTACGATTCTTGCGCCCAGCATCCCGGTTTGTGTCCGCCGCCGCTGCACGACCAGTCGCTCGAAGCGCCTTTCAACTCTTTCCCCGAGTTCCGGCGATTATACAAAGTCAAGGTTATGCGACCGAGGGCGGGGTGAAGGACTACACAGTTAGAGATGCGCTCAATGAGGCACTCGCCGAGGAATTGGAGTTAAACCCCAAGGTGTTCGTCTTGGGAGAGGAGGTCGCTCAGTACAATGGCGCATACAAAGTTACCAAGGGATTATTGGATCGATTTGGAGACAAGAGAGTGATTGACAGTCCCATCACCGAATCTGGATTCTGTGGTCTTACCGTCGGAGCTGCATTGGCTGGATTACACCCTGTCGTAAGTTATCAGAATGATGCCAATGGTGTGTGCTAACCGCTATCTGGACAGTGCGAGTTCATGACCTTCAACTTTGCCATGCAGGCCATTGATCAGATTGTCAACTCGGCAGCAAAGACCCACTACATGTCCGGTGGTATCCAACCATGTAACATCACTTTCCGAGGACCCAACGGTTTCGCTGCCGGTGTTGCTGCACAACATTCTCAGGATTACTCGGCTTGGTACGGAAGCATTCCAGGTCTCAAGGTTGTCACTCCATGGAGTGCAGAGGACGCAAAGGGATTATTAAAGGCTGCCATCCGGGATCCTAACCCAGTCTGCGTTCTCGAGAACGAATTGCTCTATGGACAAGTCTTCCCAATGAGCGAAGCAGCACAAAAGGATGATTTCGTCATTCCATTCGGAAAGGCCAAGATTGAGCGTGCTGGAAAGGATCTTACAATCGTTACTCTCTCCCGATGTGTCGGCCAATCGCTCGTCGCAGCCGAGAACATCAAGAAGAAGTACGGTGTCGAGGTAGAGGTAATCAACTTGCGATCAATCAAACCACTCGACGTCGAGTCAATCGTCAAATCAGTGAAGAAGACCCATAGACTCTTGTGTGTCGAATCCGGCTTCCCAGCATTCGGTGTTGGAGCCGAGATTCTCGCTCTCGGTATGGAATACGCATTCGATTACCTAGATGCGCCAGCGCAAAGAATCACCGGTGCCGAGGTACCCACGCCATATGCTCAGAAATTGGAGGATATGTCGTTCCCCAACGAGTCGCTGATTGAGAACTATATTGCGAAGATGTTAAGATTGTAGATTCGACCGAGGGGAAAATATCAAAGGTTCTAAACGTTCGGGCTGGGCTTTCAATGGGATGGTTAATTGGGGGCGGGGCGGGGTGGCTTTCAGATGTGTATTTCTAGAGCGGCTGCTTCTTCTTGTGAAATAGTTCAACGGATGTACCTATTGATGCCTCGTTGAGCTCTATGCTTGCAACATGACTTGCTTTTATGATATGCCTTTTACTCTTGCTATCTCGTAGAATTTCGAAATTTATCTCTTAACGCTAAGAAACTAATCCAGCATTAACATCCATCAAACAAATCCACATATGATCTATCAAGCGCGGAAACATAAATTTTAGAGAGTGATTTTAATTCTATTTGCTAGCTGACTATTATTTCAGTGATACGAAATGCTGCTTGTAGCACCAATATTCAATCCGTAATCCTAATGACAATATCATTTTTATTGGCATGGAGATCAGTACCTAAGGTATGTATGTAGGTAAGGTATGTATATATGTAGAGCATATGTGTATGTATCAACAGACAAATTGCGAAGGTCCACCACAGGGCAAAAGGGGGTTCCGCACTCAAAGGTCGTTGGGGATTGATCTTGTCTAGTACACTATGGGTGTATCCAGCTCAAGACCAGCTTTTGGATGGAAGCTGGCCGAGCGAGGTATAAGACGGGGGTTTTCTTCTTGGTGGTGCAATGAATGAGAAATGAGGAGTTGATGAGATGGTAGTCACCGTGTGGTGCGTTTTTCTTTTGAAGCTTGAAGCGGACAAACGAATAATTTTTTGTATTGTTGGCTAGTATAGCTATCACGTTCAGGATGGGGTGATAGGGAATCCTTTGCTCTTACTCCGTATTGGGCTGTGATGCTTGTTATGAGTGTTGTGTGTTTGTAGTGCTCTCAGCTGGTTCTGTGGTACCCAGGCTTTGATACTTTCCAGTTTGGGGCCTCATCGCAAGCTAGCTTTGCGGCGCTAGGTTGTCGGGCAAGTAGGCATCTTCTTTTAGGATGTCTCCCTCATGAATGTTTGCGTTTCTGTTGTCCCCCAAGTTGTCTCAATCAGTCGGATGTCTCGGGTCATACATCTCATACCCCTCATCTCCAGTATCACTTTCAACATCAACACCCGCATCCACAATCCTCAAGGTACTCGTGCTCTCCTTACTACTCACCCCCTCACTCTTAACCTCTTCCTTCACCTCCCCATCAGCAGGCGCAAATGCACTCTTAAACCCCGCTTTCTTGAATCCGCCCTTTTTGAAGCCACCCCCACTGGGCGCGGGAGCAGCATCACTACCGAGTTTTATGGAGATCAAGCCACTCTGGGAATTCGCTTTTGCTTCTGCTTTTCGTGCTTTGGAAGAGGCGAGCGGGTCACGACTTAGTTGTCGCATGTCCTTTAAACGTTGCTTGTGCGAGTGGTCGTAGGATGAGAGATGCGCTTCATACTCGTTCATTCGCGCGTAGCCTTTGGAGCAGAGCTCGCAGTAGAAGGATTTTACGGCTTCGCGAGCGCTTTCTGTTTTAGGGGCTGGATTGGTGAAGCCGCGCTGAATGGACGTATAAGATTGGTATGACGGTGAGGATTGGGATGACTTACTGGAGGCATCTTGGTGTTGTGGTATGCTGCTGGAAAAAGTTAATGTTGACGTCTTTTGTGGGAAGACGTTGAGGTTGAAGAAATTGGTGTTGGTTGGTATTCTGCGGCGCAATTTTCAGCAGCAAATAAGGTGTGGTCAAAGCTCATGCCAAAAGCTTGGCATAAAAAGCCTCGGATGACGACAGCCAAACATCGTCAAGCTCTTTGCAATCATCGTGATTGTTGACTTTTCGACAACCAGCTTTCGCCATGGAGCGCAGAGATTCGACGGCGTCGCAAAGCACGCTTTTCTCTCTGCAACAACTAGATCCCTCACCTTTCGACTCACCAGATTCAGAATACGATAAACAACTCCCAAACCTGCCACGCCAAAGCTCCAATCCGCTGGGACTAAGTGGCAGCGGCCACGGCGCTGCATACTACCGTAAGCCACCTGAATAACTCAACTTACTAGAGTACACCCTAAATACTAACAAAACACCAGTGACTCGTCTTCAAAAATACTCCTCTTACGTCTTTACAATCTACACCTCCTTCCATATAACAAACACCTCTCTAATACCCCTCCTCACCCGCTCTATTCCCGAATCAGAAAAATACCTCCTCCTGACAAGACCCTACTACCAATCCTTCCCCTTCGAACCCCTCCTCATCACCCTCCCCATCGCAACACACATCCTCTCCGGCCTCGCCCTCCGCATCCACAGACGCAACGCGAATCTCGTCCGCTACGGCGCCGTCCACCTCCCCATCTCCACACGCCTCGAACGCCGCCTCAAGGTCTGGCCCGAGGTCTCCTGGACCTCCTTCTCGGGGTATATACTAGCACCACTATTTATCGGGCATGCGTTCATCAACAGATTACTGCCGTGGGTATACGAGGGCGGTTCGTCGAGTGTAGGATTGGGCTTTGTGGCACATGGGTTTGCGAAGCATCCTGCTGTTGCGTGGACAGGGTATGTTTCTTTGATTGGGATTGCGTCTGCGCATTTTGTTTGGGGAGCGGCGAAGTGGAATGGGTGGGTGGTGCATGGGACGACGAAGAAGGCTAGGAGGAGGTGGTGGGGGTTGCATGGGGCGAGTGTGGCGGTGGCGGTGGTTTGGATGGCGGGGGGATTGGGAGTGGTTGCGAGTGGGGGGATGGCGGAGGGGTGGATTGGGAAGAGTTATGATGTGCTTTATTCGAAGATTCCCCTGGTTGGGTTCTAGAGGGTGTTTTTTGGGGGTTGGGATAGAGGCATTATGTGTTCATGATAGAAGATAGGCGGCATGGGATTGGCGCTATGGGGCATATATGTTGGCTGATGGATTCAATGGAAGAGCGTTTGATTAGGATTCAACGGCTGGCTTTCATACCGGGAAGTATCTTGATGTACGCATACTTATGGAAGAGACCAGATATCTCACTTAAGCAATCACCGGGGAAAGCATATAACTTCGGCCCGAGCTATGAGTAGAAAACTGAAGAATTTCCAGGTATCTTAACAGCTACTATTTGCTCTCTGTACCAAAAATCCTCTTTCTTCCTTTCGCGAACGAAAACAGACTCCCAACTCGCTTGTAAATTAAGCGAGGAATCCCTGCCCCTTTTGTACTGTACCTCACCTTCCTAATACACATCTCCTGGCCTCGAGGGATTTTTCATGTGGATCAAGAACGCGCACGACTTCCTTACTATGAATCTCTAGTGCATGGAGATTTACAATGCCAAATTCTTGTCAAAGAATCCCCCGAACGGTCTAGGAGATACGTACAGAAAAGGCTGTGGTAAATAGCTGGCTTCGAATTATTCTTTACTTCGAGGGATTTGATGATCCTGTTTACTTCTGATATGGGGGAGTGGTTTGTCTTTCGGTGTAGGAGTGATGAACGGCTTAGCTATCCGTGATTTAATGATTAGATGAATTGATTGGCCATCTCTATTTTGTGGTGTGTGTGTAGAGTTAGATATGGTTTTCTGTTTTCGCGAAGGTATGGAGTTGTAATTTTCGTTGGGGAGTCTGATTTGTTTACTCGAGTACTGATTTAGTATGGTACTATTATTTTGGGCTCTATGGCGATGGATTGATATCGGAATTGGGTTTTAATAGATCTACACTAAGTGCTGCTTTCTGTCGGAAGTTGGAAGTAGATTCTATGGATATCACCAGGGTCATTGAGTCAAGCACAAGAGAAGTGGAATCTAGCAGTCTCTTCCATTGTATATAAGCGTGTTGTTTCTGCATCCCTCCACTTCGTAATAAATTCAGAAGTATTCGTTCAACTCTTTTTTTCGCAGTTAGTCACTACTTAGCTAGTCATTACATTAAGCGCGTGAATTTTGAACACGAGAATATGGTACTGAAAATGGGTTACAGGAACAGAGCGTTTTACTGTTGAAGAGCGTTTTACTGAGGAGTACTCGAATATCGCCAAATTCCGGCAGGTTTTAAGGAGAGTTAGAGAGGATGGTCCTTGTACACATTTTATCTAATAAGGACTAGAAGAAGGTGATAGGTATAGTATCATATTATTCGCTTTACTAAGCTACCTGGTTCCGATGGCCATATGCCGCTGGCTTATTAGGCTACAAATATTCTCCTTGAGTTCTAGGTTTAAGCTACCAACGCTAGAGAATTCGGGGTTTCGGCTTTTAATAAAGTTATAAGATTACCCTGTTCAATAACTTTGGCTTTTTTATGTCTTTTATTATTCTTTTTTATTATTCTTTTTTATTATTCTTTTTTATTATTCTTTTTTATTATTCTTTTTAACATTCTAATTAGTTTATTTTACTTTGAAATAATCATCTAGAGTTTACGTTATAAATTATAGTTTTAAACAGTACTGTCAGGGACAAAATAGGAGACTGTTAACATAAGCTGTAAAAAGTGGAATAAGGAGAGAAGTTAGCTAAGGGGCGAGCAGGGCTCTAATATAGGAGCTGTCTGTCGGCCTGGAAGCGTTCTAGAAGCGTCCGGAATAGGACTAGCGCCTTCCATAGAATGTGCTAGTGCCAGACAGAGTGCTCGTGTCGTAACAATTCCATTCCATTTGTAACAGGATATAGGATATACCCATTAAGGTTGCGCTAGCAGTCATGATGTAGGCATCCAGCCGAAGTGAAGCGAAGGAAGGCGATTCCTTACAACATAGACTCTTAAGGTACGCCGATTAATCAACATTAACTTCTCTCAAATACCGCTCCCTTATCAGTGCTTTCTTATTAGTTAGAAACACCCCTAGAATTCTCCAAATCCATGGAATTCCAAATCCTATTTGATGAAATAACCGTTCTATTTATAAGGAGCTCTGGAAACTTTCTATATGGGATAGAATTTTGGAATCGATAGACTCGAGTACCATTTGCCGAACGCTGCCCCCTAGAATTTGGTCACGGGTTTGCGGTCCCCTTTCTCGTCTTCTTCAGGACTGGCTCTGGGACTGTGGAGAAGAATCGGGTACTTTCTTGTCTCCTGACCAGACTCAATCCAGATGTTATGGAAATATTCGATAGGCATTTTTAGGATAAAACGATTCTTATTCGGAGGTCAGTGAGGAAGAATGATTGTGATAAGTTTTGTTAGACCAAGAGGAACCAGAGAGGAGATTTATACTTTCCGGACTTACAGAGGATGGGAGAGAACAGTATTAACCAACTTTCAACTTCCACTGAAAGGCCTTGGGCTGAGCCATTGACTGAGCTAACACTAATGATTTAAGAAGAAAGAAAAAGACGCATCCAACAAACTTCCAGTCAAAGAGAAGATGGGTTGTGATGACAATTATCGGCCACCATGAGTTGAATTGCTAGGGTTTGTGGGTTAGTAGGCGAATCTTAAAGGCAATACGATTGATTTTATGGAACACCTGCATTCCAGGTTCATTGCGGCCTAGACCTAGCCAACTATCTGAAGTCTTTCATCATCATTGGCTGCCAAATAACCTCTTCACAAATTTCAGACTAAGCTCTCCCTCCTCTCACCTGGTATACTGCTTAAGAGAATGATATCAAAGAAAACAGAAAGGTAACATTGAGAGACTGCTGGGATTGGATGTAGTTACACTGGGGTTGTGCAATCTAAACTTAGGTAAATTATATCTAATTAAAAAAACCCTAAATTAGCCTAAATAAAGACTTGACCTCTAAACTTAGATCTTGGTATATATGAATACGGAGCTATAAGAGGTATAAGCGGGATGAATTAAGAGTAAAAGTAGAAATAAAGTAGACCTTTCTATAATTATTTTCTCTTATCTCGGGTATTGTCTTAACTTCTCGCTTATTGTTAAAACTATAGATAGTACTAAATATTATAAAGGTATATAGAGATAATAGATAACGGAGTAGAATCAGGGTTATAATAGCAACGCCGGAGTATAGGATTTTCCGCTCCGAGGTTATATTTCACGTTATGTGACGTATATAATTAGGATCTAATTAAAACTTATCTAAACGTCTAAATTACTAATCATTTCTAATTTATTTAAATTAGATCTAAACAAACAACCCTAAGTAACACCCACACGAAGATCCCAGCAACCCAGCCCCATAAATTACAACCAACAATATAATGCTTGCCTCCAACACCCATCCAAGAACCCTCTTCCCCTGGGGGTTTCAGTTCCAACATTCCTTAGCCCCCTACAACAATATTTTGACATTATCCAACGTTCTGTTGTAACAAAGAACCTTTTCAACTCACTACTACTTTCCATGACACTTCTGGTTACCATCACACAGATTTCGCTAGCTAGCAGCGGAAAACCCACCTTTCGACTGCTTTGAGGACAAAGAGACCTTGAAAACTCCAATCAAATAGAATACCCCATTAATGTACCTTTACTTGAATAAAATCGACCTTGGTCTAGTCCGAGAGTACTTTCCCAGCCAATTCTTCCATACACACTTACTCCGCGCAGTTTACCTTGCGCCTCCTAACTTTACAAACGCATTCGCTTTAGTATGTTAAATCAGAAGTATAATAAAAGCGGTTTAATTTCATACTACATTTTCCATTCACGAAGGACTTCGTTTCTCCTTCTGCTCTCTTACTACGCCTACTACTTGGCTCACTTTGTTTATAACTACTCGGTATTACAACACGAACTTCAAAAGACAAGTAACACACTCAGATTTACGCTATGAACTTACTTTAGCTTGACAGCTTCTAGTTTTGGCTTCTTAATTTCACTCGAAAATTCGGAATGAATTTACTTTTTTCGGTAGGGAAAGGGAGAGAGGGGAAGCTAGATTCTCAACTAAAAATAACCCTATGTAAAATCATAGTAAAGAAAGACTATCAAATGACTTCTAGAAGGACATGTTACTGAAGCCCTTTAGCTTCGTTTATACTAACTTATTATTATCGATTTTGAGATACAAATGGGTAGTAAAGTAATAAAAGTAGAACTGTATTCCTCTTAATAAACCAAGGAATTTCTATCTAGATTTTTGATATAGTTCTTTCGTCTTAATTTATAGGTATAAAGAATAGTTTACATATATATCAATTTTAGTTGGATTAGTTGAATTGTTTGTTTTACTCTTCGTAAAGTAATTATTAAAGTGTAATGTTATTAGGAGGGAGGATCATATAACTTACCTGCCTAAACCTCCTAAGACTTTTCTACCGTAAAGAAGCTACGTATCATCACTAGCGCGTTCTATGGTATTCCTGAAGAGGAATAGAGCCTATGTATTAGACCCTTGCTCCTACTATATATAGTTAGATTATTATGCTTTTAAATTTAACTTGTTTTACCCTAGTACTTTTAGCATTCCCCACTCCCATTAACAGGTAATCTAGGAGGTCTAGAAGGATAAAAAACAAGAAGCATTCTAATCGGCACTTCTTCTTTTCTAAGATAGTTAAGATGACTTCTTATAAGACGTAGGTTGTGAGTCTCTTTTTCTTGTAACAAAAGCCCCATGCAATCAGATTTCTAAGAGAGCCTGGGAATCATGATTCACAGGAACCAAGACCCCACATCTCTAAGCAGAGACAATAAATAAGCTTGAACGCACTCTCTGCCTGACCCTAATTATTTTCACTCATGATGGCGTGAGTGAAAAAATGTCGCACAACTTGTTTTATAACATAAAAGGCTCTGATCTACCTTCGTAGATGAAACGATCTGCGCATACATAATTTCAATTTTCATAGGATATGAACTAAAAGTGATCTACAAGAGACCTTATAATGTTATACCTTTGACGTAACCTAATAACGTAACCTAATAAGAAAAGGTAGACATATAATTTTATCGTTCTGAGACCTGCTTGCTTTGGAAAGAGTTATACAGGGAGATTAGTACTCTCTAGAACCTATCAGATAGAATTCAGTACATAACACCTAAAAGAGTCATGACGACCTTTTTTGTCTCATCGTGATACCATGTTTGAGTGAAAATCGAAACTTCCGCCCTCTTATTCATTAGTTACCGAATAGATCATTAGAGATTGTGTGAAGATATGACTTGATCTGTTTCTCATAATCAAACAACTGAAAACACACCTTTGCTCGCTAAATTTACAGTGGTTCCAGGCCAGTCACGTGCTAGTGCCCTTGGCAAAGTCACGAATGAGCACACCATCGCCCTGGAAAGAATATAGTGGGGCATCAGCCAATGAAACCAGAGATAGTGAGGAGCCATCTAGTTAACTCTTTTCTTTTCGTTCCTGACCTCCTTCTATCCCCTCAAACTTACCATCATCCAGCCTCATCGTCGCCCCCGAACTTCACGGTTTTTTCTACGTTTTTTCGTCGTGTTTTTCGTTCGCAAAGTCGAGGAAATCTCTGCTGTGTCCAGCACCGAGGCACCCAAAGGCCTAGTAGCCAATGAGAGGTCCCCAAGTGGGAACCTGTTCAAATTTTCCAGTACGGAAGGTCAGAGAGACTACTTTGGCAGACAGAGCGAAAATCTGTTATCTTTTCCTGCGCCCGATCACGGAGCAGGATTCGACGAATCCATGCTGCATCTCGGTGGGCGGAATTTCGAGTTTTTTCTATTCATTTGAATGCTCTTTTTGCTGTCATTATTACCCCCCTTTCACCCCCCTTTTTTTTTCGCGAGTTTCTCGTTTATTTGTTTACTTTAAATTTTTGCCTTCTATTTTCTTCTCCCTTTCTCTTCTTTTACTTTACTTCCTTCTTTCTTCATCGTTGTTGTGTCGCTGTTTTGTTGCTATTCTCATTTCTAACTTTGCCAAGTGGTGTCACGGCTTTGGGCGGTTGAAGCCTGCGCATCTGACCAACAGATAAGGCTTATCGCTCTATCCGATGACCCCCGCCGCGCCGTACACAGGCAATGCATTCGAACCACGATACCGTTCTGAATGGCGGTCAATCGAGGGGTTCGAGGTGCAGAATTTGAAGTTTGGTAAAGGGTCAATTTATTTGGTCATGGAAACAAGGAAATCGAGGGGGAAATTAACCGAACAGGAAACTTCCCATCGGTCAAATTCTGATGTCAGGAATAGCAACTGCCATGGACCATGGACCGACCAACTCCTTCCGTGAGATGCTTGGGATTTGAGGGTTGTTGTACGATGGCTGTTTGCACCATTATTACGAAATTTTCGAGGTCTCATGTCGAATCAGACAAGAGGGGTTTACTGTACCAGAGGGCGATCATGGTGGGTTTGGTTTAGGCGGTGGTACTCAAATCCCAAATAGGGAGAAGATTCTTGAAATTTCGGCCAACGAGTTACGGGTGGTCTTGCCAAGGATGATCCACCACGTACAGTCCAGGCACAGGGTTTATCAGGATTTGGATAAATGTTCTCTTTGAGCAAACGGTCTGTCTTTCTGCTTAATTACATCACGAACTGTGCTCCATCATCTTCACACTGCGCACTCGTCATTTATTTGATTTTATCTTCCTCGTGAATCCGCCCTTGAACTCCTCAATTTGCCCCGTTGACGACAAACAAATACCCCCAACACTCACCAACATGTCTCCTATCAAATCCGCGAGCGTCCGTGTCCTCCGCTCCAAGCCGCTGGTAAAAAATAATGCTCGAGTCTTGAACACGACGGAACGAAGTGTCGGAATGACTACGACAACCACGACCTCTCCAGGCCATCCCTCTACAAAGCCCAACTTCCCAACTCCAGTACACTACTCTCCTCAATCACAGACCACCACAAAGACAAAGATGATCGCCAACAATTCTCAAAACCCCTTCGACCGACTCCAAACCTCCCTCTCCTCCCATCTTGCTTCCCACCCACCTTCAGCACTCTCCCCCACCCTTCCAGCTCTCTTCCGTCTCCTTCGCGAGTACACCTCAGATGCAGCGGACTGGGCCAGATTCGCTCACTCAAATGCTGAGAAGCAATACACAAGAAACCTCGTGTGTGAGGTACCTGGATTATTCAACCTGTTGCTCCTTGTCTGGACACCAGGAAAGAAAAGCCCGGTTCACGACCACGCTGATAGCCACTGCTTGATGAAGGTCTGTATCTTCTCGCGCCATAAAAGAAAATTCATCACACTGGGTACTAAACTCTTCGATTAGATTCTCAAGGGAAACCTCGTTGAGACCCGTTATGCTATCCCTACCAACCCAGGCCTTGAAGGACCTCTTCACCAAACTTCGTGTAAGAAATTCAACCGTGACCAAGTTACTTATATGTCTGACGCTGTAAGTTACTACCTTTTTCCTTACAAGCGCTTTCTGCACCGCTTGATGAACCTTCTGCACGATTTGGAACTAACGAACCCCCAGCTTGGCCTCCACGAAATCTCAAACCCAAGTCCTACCGAATACGCAGTGAGCTTGCATCGTAAGTCCTCCCACCCAACTTCTCATCCTAGTTTCATGACCAGTTCGAGCTAACATCGCACAGTATACACACCACCAAACGCAGCTCTTCGCGGCTGCCACATCTACGACAAAGCCGATGGCGAGGCAATCCATGTCATGCAGGGTGCTTATGATTCGGTCCTCGGTGTTGCTAACAAGTGAATGTGACACCTGGCTGGACTGCACATTAACGGGTTCCCGAGATACATCAGCTCACTGCCTTGAGCCACGACTTTACGAACGTTTCCTTGGTTGTATTTGGAGTTTGGGAGTCACTTGGAGCTAAGAAGGTGCACAGCACAGATATCATATCTTTGATGCGTCAACAACTTCAGCGTTTTTATGTATTTGTACTGGTGGCTAGACACGAGCGGAATGCGGATAGAGAATAGATTGATACACGTACATTAGTTCCGTGATGGTTTGCACGTTTTCTGCCGGTGGCAGCAGTTCTTACTGATACTATCCCCAATCTCCGTTCGGCTCCTAGTACCATACCCCTTGCCTTTGACCTTTAAGCCTCGGATATGAGGTTAACGGGCACTTGAATATCGGTTTTTGGTCTCGCAATTCTATTTGCGAGATTACTATGTATAGTGTTAGTGATTCACTCTCCCTTTTTTTAGGATCGGACGAGATTAGGTTTAGATAAGGTTATTCTTGTTGTCCAACCATGATCGAGGATCTTTGTCGTGCAGTATTTTGAAGTCGTAGATGAATGGTTGGTGTGAGGTGGTGCCCAGGCCATCAGGGTGTTTTGGGCTTTGTTATATGTAGTATCATAACATTACTTTCTTGGGATCCTTTCTTAGTGTTTAATACCACGGAAATTGTGACTAAGGTCAAGATTTTTAAATGCGGTTTTACGGCGTCTGGTTGTGAGGTTGTAAGGAGTTAAATGCTAGATTTCACGAGACCTTATAGTTTCATCCGATTTACGGGTTGAGTGTTATATAGGGTGTTCTTGGACACTTAAATAAAATTATAACTTCTGGCTAATTCCTTGACCTGAAGTGAAGGGCGGCTAATGAGTATGTTAAATCTTTTTAGATACGGGACTTTTGCTTAGGGATTGACTGTAATGTTACTATAGCTGTGTGTAGATATACTAGAGTACAGATGCCTTGGAGTTATGGTTATGTTATAGTGCACGGTAAGATGATTGGTCAAGAAGTCGTGTAATCGGTATCTCTGTGTACAGAGGATGGGGGCCTGAAATCCATGTACTATTGTTGTTCTGGGTCTACTTTCTCCTTTGCTCCACTTCCTTATTTGATCCACTTATAGTTCTGCTGCCTAAATGCTTCATGTCTGCCTAAACCTTACACTCTTTATATAAACTCCTTAGATAGCTACCTTTTACAATGCAATCAATTCTCCATGACCTTTAGTACCCAATACCCTTTCAACCCAACATTTAGTTAGCCAGTTTGAGTATTCGTTACATCTTAGTAGACAATAGGTATATAAAATTAAGTAAGACTGGGTAAATAGAATTATATAGTATAAAGCTCGCTAGGTAGTATAAAGATTCGCTTAATAAGAAGGTATCGATTATAAAGAAACCTTTATATTAGTTATAAAGCCTATAATATATAAGGCCCTTTTTACTTTTATAGCCTCGGAGGACCTAGAAATCGAGTAAATAGATATAAAAACTACCTTTTTATATAGTAAGGTTAAAGAAGAGATATATTGTGAGAGGCCAGACCTCGAATAGCTCAAAGGTGTGGTTTCGAATATTCAATTAAGAAGTGCGTGAAGACTACATACATGCGAGCTCTTCCTCTATATATAGAGAGGAAGAGCTTCCTGAATATTCCAAGAAACTTGCAAGAAACTTGAATGACGAATACATGATGTCAGAAGAACAAAACAAGAAAGTGTGGAAAAGTAGAAACCTGTTTGGCAGTGGGGTAATGGCCAGTGCTAAGCAGGGACTTTGGTCAGTGCTTAACGAGGACTTTGGTCGGTGCTTAGCGAGGGCATGGCCCGAGCCTCCATCATGGGTTCCTGTAACGAATACTCAAACTGGCTAACTAAACTTGGCTGGGTGTTCGCTGGTTGGTATGCTATGATAAGAAGAAGACTATCGGGTTGTTCACTTGGAAGTGAACTCGTTACTTGTATCAAAGATGTCAAAC